ATATCACTTGTACATATTGTGACAGAGTGCCTGAAGATTTGCTTGATGATGATTTACCTGATGCCAACTCTCAGGACTTCACTGGCTTTCTTCACTTGTTCCCAGTCCCGTGCCATCTAAACACTTATACACAGGGACGACGATAACTACATTTAGAAAGACTGTTTATTACGAGACGACTTCGGAAACACAACTAGGCATGACAAACCCTAGACGAAGACTCAACACCACGTACACACGACGTACACAAAATAACGTACTACAACATAACTCCCTCCCAAGAGTAGAATCGTCCTTGTTGTGGTCCCGTTGTTGTACCCGATCCGTTCCGGGATCGGTTACCCATATGCATTCCCGTACTGTGTACATATATGGATCCTGGTTGTGCATCTTTATCTTTCGTTGTTCTATGTAAATAAACTTTAGTTGTTGTCTGGGACTTGTGAAATGAAGTTGATCTATGGAGTGCAGGAACTAACTTGATGTTCACTCAGGAACATTACATGGTGTCAGAAGTAGCAGTTAGTCATGTCGTCTGCCAAATTTCCTGTACCTGCCCCGTTCGATTTCTCCACCCCAGAAGCATGGCCACTCTGGAAGACCCGTTTTGAACGCTTTAGTTCTTTGTCCAAATTGGACGAGGCGGACGGGCAACGCCAAGTAGACACATTAGTTTACTCCATGGGAGCCGAAGCCGATCCTATCTTTGAGTCTCTATCTCTGTCCGCGGATGATAAGAAGAAACTCGACAAGGTACTGGAGGCCTTTGACAAGTATTTTCGCCCGGGTGTAAACGTAATCCACCAACGGACATTGTTTGAAAGGTGTGTCCAGAACCCAGGTGAATCCGTGGAAGAGTATGTGCGTCGTCTCCGTGCCGCAGCCAAATATTGCGCGTTTGACAAGTCCGATGAGCGTATCCGCGACAGGTTGGTGGCCCATATGACGAACCGAGAAGTTTCGAAGAAGCTACAGCTCAAGGATCACGCTCAGCTGACACTCGAGACTGCCGTGAGCTTGGCACGCAAAACGGAGTCCGTAAACGCCGAGGTCGCCCAGCAAACGCCCCGGGTGAGCCAAGCTGCTGCAGCTACCTCACCGCAACGGAAACACGGCAAGTCCCCTGCTTACGCAAGTTACGGATCGACGGGAAAGCGACCACAGGTCAAGTCCCAACGAGACTCGAGCAACAGTAAGAAGTGCTCGTGGTGTGGCTCCTCCAAAGACCACAAATCGAACCGTGACGAATGCCCTGCCAAGGACAAGTCTTGTAACAAGTGCCGTAAGTCTGGACACTTCGCCAGCGTCTGCCGGTCTGCCTCCGCCAGTGCAGCACACAACGATTATGTGCATGTAGCTGAGTTTGACTTGCAGTCGGACCCCGTCGGCGAAAATTTCCTTGGAGCTGCTTCTACCCACACCGCTGACGAGCCGTGGATAGTACGACTGGATCTGTGCGGCTCACACTTCGATTTCAAAATCGACACTGGAGCTGATCTCAACATTATGACGCAGGCCAGCTACAACTCTTTATCTGCACCGCCAGTACTCAGTCCGTGCCAGACACGTATGATTGGGCCTGATGGGAACCAGCTCACGATACAGGGTGAGTTCCACACTTGTGCTGTGTTCCGTGATGTACAGTACCCAGTCACTATCCTGGTCATTGCCACTGGTGGTGTCAACTTGCTGAGCAGGCAGACATCTGAACTGATGGGCCTAGTACAACGTCTTCATGTTGGCTCTTCAGATGCCCAGCCGAAAATCGGATGCATGCTAGGCAAGCCAGTCGAGATTGAGTTGAAGCCAGACTGCAAACCATACAACTGTGTAAATGCTCGACGCATTCCAATACACATCCGCCTCAAGGTTCGTACCGAGCTGGAGCGTATGGAAAAAGCAGGTGTCCAAACAAAAGTCGAGCAGCCGACCGACTGGTGTTCACCCCTCGTGTCGGTCCTCAAGCCAAACGGCAACGTGCGTGTATGCGTAGACCTCAAGCGCCTGAATGCCAGCGTCAAGAGAGAGCACTACCCGTTACCGACCGTGGACGACACGCTCGCACAACTCAACGGTTCTACCATATTCTCTACGCTGGACACCACGTCTGGCTTCTGGCAGATCCCACTCTCCGAGGAAGCGTCGTTGCTGACGACGTTTATCACTCCCTATGGCCGCTTCAAGTTCGAGCGCCTTCCCTTTGGCATAACGAGCGCGCCTGAGATATTCCAGCGCCGGCTACAAGGTCTATTCAGCGATATTCCCAACGTAGCAGTGTTCATAGACGACATCATCGTCTATGCTTCATCGATGGCTGAGCATGATGCTGCTCTGCTCGCCGTCGAGAACCGACTCCGTGATGCCGGTCTGACACTGAATCCGAACAAGTCTAAGTTCAGATGCACGTCCCTAAAGTACCTGGGCCATCGGATCAGCGACAAGGGTGTCCACCCTGACCCATCTAAGCTGGATGCCATTGAGCGCCTCGCAGCACCAGCTGATGTGGAAGAGCTCCGTCGTGCACTCGGACTCTTCACGTACCTCTCCAAGTTTCTGCCGTCATTGTCGACCGTAGCCGCCCCACTACGCGAGCTACTCCGGTGCGACGCGGCGTGGCAATGGACCAAAGCACATGAGCTAGCTTTCACAGAGCTCAAACGCCTAGCTGCCTCAGCCCCGTGTCTCGCGTACTACGACCCGTCTGCGCCGACCATCGTCACGGCTGATGCGAGCAGCTATGGATTGGGTGCTGCACTGCTACAGTTCCACGACAATGAGTGGAAGCCGGTCGCGTACGCCTCACGCACCATGACAGCAGCAGAGAAACGGTATGCCCAGATCGAGAAAGAGCTCCTCGCCTCGGTCTGGGGATGTGAACACTTCCATCAATACCTCTACGGAGCGCCCCGATTTACTATTCAGACGGACCACAAGCCGCTGGTCCCACTAATGAACACGCGTGACCTCGACCGAGTACCTCTACGCTGCCAACGTCTACTGATCAGACTCATGCGCTACGATGTACAGGCGGAGTACGTGCCTGGCAAGAACATGGTTCTCGCCGACACGCTGTCCAGAGCTCCTCTTCCTGACACGCCAGCAACCGAATCCGACCTACACAGTGACTCGGAAGCCACCATCGCCGCTGTCCTGTCGTCTCTATGCAGTCCTACCAAGCAACACGCTCTCGTTACAGCCACTGCTGACGATCCAGTCCTGCAACAAGTAATCCAGCATACCCTCCATGGCTGGCCGACCAAGGTCAACGCAGACCTGGAAGCCTACCGCAACGAACGTGGCTCGCTCTCAGTTCACGACGGTCTGCTGTACCACGGATTTCGGATCGTAGTCCCGGCATCCGAACGCAAAGCTACACTTGCCACTTTGCATGACGGCCACCAAAGCATAACCAAGTGCCTGGCCCGTGCGAAGTCCTCCGTCTGGTGGCCAGGTATCACACGTGCCATTTCAGAATGCGTGCAGAACTGCCTGACCTGCACCAAGCATCGTTTTCAGCCGCCAGAGCCTCTGTCTCCAACTGCGTTTCCCTCTTTGCCATGGGAGAGAATAGGAGTCGACCTTTGCCAACATGACGGTCAGGAGTACCTCATTGCTGTCGACTACTTCTCCAGGCACATTCACGCCATCCCGCTACGGAAGACTACCTCTGGAGCCGACATCAAGGAACTCCACGAGCTGTTTGCCATCCATGGCATCCCTCAAGTCCTTGTGTCGGACAACGGTCCACAGTTCGCAAGTGCTGAATTCGCCGCATTCACAGCCCAAATGCAGCTCACCCACCGCACCAGTAGCCCGCACTACCCACAGAGCAACGGTGAAGCTGAGCGAGCGGTTCGAACATTCAAGCGTCTCCTGAAGACCAACAACAGCCTCAACGATGCCTTACTCAACTACAGGTCAACACCCCTCGCAAATGGCTACTCGCCAGCCGAGCTCTTGTTTGGTCGTCGTCTACGCACACACCTCCCATGTACAGCGGAATCCCTCGCTCCAAGTTGGCCTGATATTTCCAAGCTAAGGAAGTTCGAGGTGAGGCAGAAAGACCGACAGAGTGAGACGTACGACTCGTCACACCGAGCACAATCTCTGCCACCATTGACCCAAGGCGACCGAGTCTGGGTGCAAGATCTCGCTTCCGAAGCCGTGATTGCAGACCGCGTCTCCGACAGATCCTATATTGTCACGACCGACAACCTGTCCGAGTACCGCCACAACCGTCGCCACGTCAAGTTGCTACCTGATGTGCAACCAACACCAACACCGCAGTTGAATGTCACTACACCTGCAGAACCTCCATCCGCTGATGTCGAGTTCCAGCCTACCTTGCGCCGATCAGCACGTCCATCCCGGCCGCTGAACAGACTCGACCTGTAAACGCATTAGTCATTGCTCATGCTATGATCACTCCAGTCGCTGACACTGATGATCGTGAACTGCATGTAGTATTTGTGTGTCTCTACCCTATCTCCTCTGTTTGTATATGACTAAATATTCTTCGAGCTGTTACCTCTGTAACCTCTCTCTCTTCGAACATAAAAAGGGAGATGTTGTGGTCCCGTTGTTGTACCCGATCCGTTCCGGGATCGGTTACCCATATGCATTCCCGTACTGTGTACATATATGGATCCTGGTTGTGCATCTTTATCTTTCGTTGTTCTATGTAAATAAACTTTAGTTGTTGTCTGGGACTTGTGAAGTGAAGTTGATCTATGGAGTGCAGGAACTAACTTGATGTTCACTCAGGAACATTACAGTCCTCAATTCTAATAATAAAACAGAGTAAAAAGAGGAATAGATCACACCAATCACTCAATCATACCACTCCAGTCACACCCAGAAATAATAAAACGTCTTCCTGCACTGCAGATTATAAAAATTTGACCGCCCACCCAGAACACCAGCCACGATCGCTGTCACAAATGTGGGAACTGAAAACCTCAAAAACTCTAAACTACTTCACTCAACACACCACCTCACGATCACGCAATATTCTAAAATGTGAGAGCACAACACATAGGAATTACAAATAGAACAGAATCCACTGGCTCTGTGGGGGCCTCTACAGTCCATTCAGAAAAGATGAGCGCTGGCTCTGAAGAGCTCCCGTGTTTGGCGATTTTGTGGCACACTGTGCAGTGCCTCGCGATTCGACACTTTAAAAAGGGTCCAAAAAAGGCACCTCAACTGAGGTTCGAACCGCAAATGTACTGTTATGCAAGTGGAGCGAACGGCCTGGATTTTCATAGGTTTTACCTAGGGCTGAAACAATTATATCAATAACTCGGATATCGATCGTTAACAGTGCAATCGATAATCGTTAGTGTTCCAAGTGAGTGCTTACGATTTTTATGCATGCATATCAGTGACAGTGTTCTAGCCCATGCACTCCATCCGATATTAAATTCGAGTGCTATCATGTACTTTCAAGCACAGAACATTTTGATAAGTGGTTTTGAAAAAGATTGGGAGAGAAGACTTTGCCTTTTCAGTTCTTTTTTTTTCAAGTCGGAGATGAAAGCAGTTTCCAAAGGGTGATAACAAGATTCTTCGCTCTGGAAACAACATGAAATTCTCTAGTTCATGTTGATAAAACCAGCCAGATGTCTACAGATGTCAACAGTGCGGTGCCACAAAAGTCTAAAGTAGCATGAGCATCTTGGACTTTCTTCGTAAACTGGTGTTCAAGGTACATGAGTAGAGCCAACAAGAATCGATAAAACCAATATATCGATCGTTAATGATATTGGTTGATCGTTAGGAGTTAATGAATGATCGTTTCAGCCCTAGTTACCCAACTCAGTGCTTTGGGGGTAAAACCTGGCCGAAATCCTATTCTTGTTATGGCTTGCTTTTTGGAGAAATAGATTTCAAAAACACAATTGGAAGAGCATTCCATGGGGGATTGCCAAAAGAATTGTGACGAAAACTCAAAATTTGACCCATTTATGGCCAAAAGCTAGGATATCATCTTTTTCTGAATGGACTGTAGTTATCCCCATAGAAGAGCAAATAAGAAGAAATGAACAGAGCACACGCGCTGTGCGGGCGCCTCTTTTCCCTCGAGGAGAGGAAATAATAAAGAACAAAATATTGGGAGTTCAGAAAGTGGTGGACATCACGCAACTGCATTGTAAATAAAAGAGGGTTTGTCAACTGACAACCGCTCTATTTAGTTGCTATTCACTCTTTAGATGAAAATTCTTTTATTAATGATGTCGAAAAGTTATTGACGTTTCGGGCCAGTCACCCATCGTCAGAACAATGTACATGTACAAGGAGCGAACCTGGCCTTTTATAACGAAAGCTAGCGAGAGCGTATGTAAAAGCACACACAATAGCCTTATGCAATTGAGTGTCTGAATTTGCATGTACAACCGACAAGGAGAAATGCGCTGAAAGAGTGGGTATGCAACAGCTCAGCAGATAAAGCGCAGGAAATGTGTGTACTAACGTGTATACCACGATAATTATGTGTACAACCCTGTATAGACACAGCAAGATTTAGCAGTTTCACTGTGAGGGTGCTAGCGCCTTCAATGGCCATTCGAAGGAGATATTGATCTCCGGACGACGCTCTCGAATCTCGATGGACTCCCTAATTTTCCTTCTGTTCATCCGTGTTTCCACGGCGAGTACTTGGGCCCCAATGAAAATCACATCTGTGCTCTTGATGGTTCCGTGCTGCTGGTGATCAGTAGCCATGTGTTTACCCACGGTTTGTCGAGCATCCTGTGACGTGCTTCATAGTGATGTTCCTCGAACCGGTCTCTTGCGACCCTGAGGGTCTCACCGACATACCGCTTCCGACACAGTGCACACTTCATCATAAAATATTGGGAGAACAGAAAATACAAAAACTCACATACTTGTTGTACATGTGGCTGTGCTTGTGTCTCTTCGTTGTACATGTGGTTGTGTTGTACATGTGGTTGCACGTGTAGCTCTCTGTCGTACATGTGGCTGCTTTTGTGTCTCTTTGTTGTACATGCTGCTGAGTCGTGGTACATGCTGCTGCGCTAGCGAGCTGTTTTTGACTCCTGCGTACATGCGGCTGCCCCGTCTTCTGTCCCCGTTGTGTACACACTTGCTCGTCTTGTCCCCGTTGTACGCCTTCACAATAATATAATTATTCTGTTGTCTCGTCTTGTATCAGTGTCAGTCGTCCGTCGTTCATTGTCAGTGTTAGTTGTCTGATATGAGTTCTCCGGTCACCGCTTGAAGTAAGCCTAAGAAAAAGCTCTCTCTCAATCTGTACTAGTCCTTTGTTGTGTGGCGTGGCAAAGGAGCGTAGAGAAATTAATAGTAATAGTTCGTCCTTTGGGCTAGACGACATACTCATCATGTTCACAACAACACACGTACCCTCTCACAACCGAAACTCCTCACGCCGTCACGTCGTCCATAAATCATGAGCGCTGTTCAACATCGACGTCATGATATTCTTGTCCTTGCCACATCGATTGACTTCCTCCTTCCGTTCCTTCCTTTTCCCAGTTCTTTCTTCTTCTCGGCATAGTTTTACATCGAGTCCGGGACCACTCAATGACGACGAGAGACGGGAGAGTTGATTGATGAAGGATGATGACGACAGACGAACTTGTTGAGGACTGACGAAACTAAGTTTTGACGATAGGACGACTAGAAATGTCAACAGAAACTTTGAACGAAGGCCACGCAGGACGAATCCAGTAGTTGAATTTTACAACAAATTTCACCGCTGCCACCAATGTTGTAACTGGCTTTCTTCACTTGCCCCCAGCCCCGTGCCATCTCCGAACTTATACAAAGGGACGACGATAAATACATTTAGAAAGACTGTTTATTACAATATGACTTCAGAAACACAACTACAATTGTAGACATGAAGACGAAGACTGCTTTTCACACCACAGCAACACGCGCATGCACCAACACCACGTACACACGACGTACATGTCGTCGCGCGAGAGATGAGCTGCCTCTTCTACGCTCTCGCCACGCCACAAATGCAAAAGGACTAGTACATTGGTTTGTTCTCATGTTGGAGAGAGAGAGAGAGAGATTTTCATTACCACACTTCAGGACGGGAGGAGAGAACTCAACACTAACAACTAACGACAACTAACAACGAACGACTGACATTGAGACAAGACGAGACAACAGAATATAATAGTGAAGGCGTACAACGGGGACAAGACGAGCAAGTGTGTACACAACGGTGGCAGAAGACGGTGCAGCCGCATGTACGCATGAGTCAAAAACAGCGCAGCAGCGTGTACCACGGCGCAGCAGCATGTACAACAAAGAAACAGAAAAGCAGCAGCATGCACGACAAAGAGCTCCACCTGAAACCGCATGTACAACGAAGAGCCACAGGCGCAACACCACATACACACGACGTACACAAAATAACGTACTACAACACACACATGGTGAAATACAGACTGGCAGTCCCAAGAACTCCTAGCAAGTGCAAGCAGGTACTAAAATTCACTCACTCTGAATTTTTCTGTTGTCAAGTAATGTTTACTTCTTTATCCAGTGTTGGCAGTTTGTGTGGGTGATGGCTGAAATGAGTATTCTGATTCCTCCAGTACCTTCTTTTCGTCAACCACCACAACATATCTGCGCTCTCTAGCCGACCTCGACACACTGCATACCCACGACTTCAGAGAGCCCAACTGTACATGTGTATAATCACTGGTGTGAATTTGTATTAATGTTGTTGTGTTGACCTGTGTAGCTGTCTCCTGCGATGTGCCTGACATTGCTAATGGCATAAGCAGCGATTCAAGAATCCAATACGGCAAACAGGTGGAATACACATGCCATGTAGGTTTTTCGCCTGTACTAAACACAACTTGTCTGACTACCGGGCTTCTACTTAATAGGCCAGCATGTAAACGTAAGTTTGACTTTGTGTCCTATCTCTGCAGTAATGTCCTATATCGAATAATGCCCCAGTTTCTAAGAGCCAGTAAAAAAATAAAGCCCTCTCTTGAATAGTGCCCCCCCCCCCGGCTTGTAACCAAGCGCATGTGCAAGTTTCGTGTTCTTTTGCTAATATTCTTGTCCATGTCATTGCACTGGTGGTTTCAGGATCAACATCGCATGTTTCCTTGCCCTTTCTGTTGAGCCGTGATAGATAACAGTACACTTTAGGCTGTCGCACGGAGAACCAAGGATAAATTTATAGAAAAGAAAACAGAACCCAGGAGCTAGAAGTCACGCTAAGATGTCGGTCAGTGCCGTGCAATCCTATCGCATGAGCTGATTGTTTAGTAACTGGTGGTGTTAGTGGACAGTATAGCGTAACTTTTAGTTCCTTGGTCCTTCTTCTTTTCTATAACTTTAGGCTCTGTTCTTCTTTGTCCTCTTTTGTTTTTATGCTGGATGACGTGAATGTACCAGCATTGAAAAAAGAAGTTCAAAAAATAGGACCGTCTGTTGAATAGTGCCCTCTCTTGAATAGTGCCCCATCTGTGTTGAACATTGAAAAAATACCGTATTTCCCCGTAAGTCAGTTCTCCCCAATGACTTAGTACCCCCTATAAAAGCACACTTTCCACTGCCGAGGTTATCACCCCGAAAGACAGTTCCCCCCGAAAGATAGTAAGTTCGTACCCGTCCTACATGCACAGACACCGTACAGTACATACATCATATGCACAGACACTAGAGTTGCGCAGGCTTCCTACTGCGTGTCATTTACCCCGATAAAAATGTACTCCCCGAAAGTTAGTAATCATGTGGCTGCTAAGTTCGAAAGTTAGTACGTACTAACTTACGGGGAAATACGGTAGTGCCTCAGGGGCACTAATCGCGCGTCTACCGTATTCACTGCCAGTCGATAACTCTCTGTGCATTTGGGGTACGGTTCAAATCCACCAACTGTATATACCGCCCCCACCATAACCAGCACCAGCACCACCAGCACCAGCACCAGCACCACCAGCACCACCAGCACCACCAGCACCACCAGCACCACCACCACCACCACCACCACCACCACCACCGCCACCGCCACCGCCACCACCACCACCCCTTCCTGTTATGCATACCAGCACCACCACCAGCACCACCACCACCACCACCACCGCCGCCGCCGCCGCCGCCGCCGCCGCCGCCGCCGCCACCACAACCGCTGCCGCCACCACCGCCGCCGCCGCCGCCGCCGCCGCCGCCACCACCACCGCCACCACCACCACCACCACCACCACCACCACTTCCTGTTATGCATAGCGCCCAGCAGTTGGAGCGGGCCCTGCTCTAAGTTGCCGTTAGCGTGTTTTACTGGAAACCTCCAGAGATGCCGGTGTGGAAAGTTGGCTTGCGGCAGAGCTGCTTGCGTTCTGTAGATTCCTCCTGAACAAGTCTGCCTTTCGATATGCAGTGGCAATTTGTTACGGCTGGCCACTGGATGAACCACAATCATCTTGCGTATGTGGAGTGGCCATGTCACTCGATCACGCTGCGGTATGTCCAAAAGGGGGCTACCCCAGTCTGCGCCATAATGAGATTCGGGACCTGCTGGCGGAGGTGTTGTTTCGGCCGGAATCATTTCAGATGTAAGGATAGAGCCTACGTTGCTGCCTTTGACTGCCAAGTGAGTGGATGGTGCCACTGCCAGTCGTTTTGCTGAGGCTCGTTTAGATATCAGTGCAAGGGGCTTCTGGTCTCGACAGCAAAATGCATTTTTTGATGTGAGGGTCACCCACCCCTCGGTGCCCTTGCTGTCGAGATCAGATGTACTTGCCCAGTTGTCTCGTAATGAAGCCCAGAAGAAACGGGCCTACCTACAACGTGTCGGATTGATGTTGAGCGAGGCACCTTCACACCTTAGGTTTTCGCGACCAATGGCATGTGCGCCTCAGATGGTTCCCGTGCTCTAAAAAAACATTGATCAGCTCTTTGTCAAAAAGTAGTCAGAATTCAATAGGAATGTCGCATTTGCGCTGCAGGATCTCATTTATTTTAATCTGCTGGCTGATTACTTACTTTCGTGGGTGCATATCTTCATATGTATGTCTACTACTTTTCTTTTATTGATTTGGCCGTGGTTGGCTATCACCCCTCTCTCATTCAATATTGGCATTGCTTGACACGAGATGATGATGCAATAATAATAATTATTATACTGCCGAAAGCATGCAGCAATTTCATTTCCGGACCAATGCCGTTTGCTCCAGTTGTGAGTGGAAGTATACCGTATTTCTGCGCATATAAATCCATGGCGTTATGGGTGAACCATCGCTGTTTTGGACCAAATATTTGGAGAAAATAGTCTCGGTTTTAACGCTATGGCGCTAAAGTGATAGACCCGTACATGCAAAAACATCGGCAGAGTATGAACTACGATATCGTTGCACGTTCATGTCAGTCGAGCATTCATGTACTTTCAATTTTCCCTGAAAATTTCAAATTGTGAACCTATTGTGTACAAGGTGGCATACAAACTTGTGTGAAGGTGCGGTGGCGGTAAGGCATGTGACAGTGGGGATGGGTACATGCCGAGAGAGTCACCGCTACTGTAGGTTCACTGAGAAAATTGAACTCACCTTTAACGCCAGATGCAACTTCCTCCGCATTGAATTTTGTTCACTTATAACACCATGACTTTATAAGTGAGGGTGGCTTTATATTCGGATATAACACCATGGCTTTATATGCGCGGAAATACGGTATAAGGCCGGCCATTCAGGTGCTGTGGAGGCCTTCTGTCTTCCTGCTGTAGATATGTTGTAGTACGTCATTTTGTGTACGTTGTGTGTACGTCGTGTTGGTGCATGCGCGTGTTGCTGTGGTGTGAAAAGCAGTCTTCGTCTTGAGTTCGTCATGTCTAGTTGTGTTTCCGTCGTCGTCTTGTAATAAACAGTCTTCCTAAATGTAGTTATCGTCGTCCCTTTGTATAAGTGTGGAGATGGCACGGGACTGGGAGCAGGAGAAGAGAAAGGCAGTTATAACATTGGTGGCAGTGGTGATAGAAATTCAGTTGTTGTCAACTTCTGGATTCATCCTGCGTGGCCTTCGCTCCCAGTTTCCGATGTCATCTCCAGCCGTCCTATCGTCAAAGCACCAAGCAGTTCGTCCGTCATCCTCGTCCTTCATCATTCGTCTCTACCGTCTCTTGTCAGTCGTCGTCACTGGTGGTCCCGGACACGACGTAAAACTGTGCCCAGAAGAAAAGCTAAAAAAAGAAGAAGGATGGATGGTCCCGGACACGACGTAAAACTGTGCCCAGAAGAAATACTGAAACAGAAAAAAGGAGGATGGAAGGTGAAGGCTGCAGTGTGAGGATGTCGACGCTGAGCAGTGCTCCCGGTTGAGATGGCGGACGACATGGCAGACGGCGTGAGGAGTTTCGTTGGTGAGAGGATACGTGTGTTGTTGTGAACGTGATGAGTATGTGAGTTTTGTATTTTCTGTTCTCCCAACATTTTTGTTCTTTATTATTTGCTCTCCTTGAGGGTAAAGAGGCGCCCGCACAGCGCCCAGCGCGCGTGTTCTGTTCGCTTTTTGATTTGCTCTTCTATGAGGATAACTAGAGGTCCCCACAGAGCCAGTGGATACTGTTCTTCTTGTTATTCTTATGAATTGTGCTCTCACATTTTAGAATTTTTGCGTGATCGTAAGGTGATGTGTTTAGTGAAGCATTAGTTAGAGTTTTTCAGGTTATCAGTTCCTACACGTGTGACAGCGATCGTGGCTGGTGTTCTGGGTGGGCGGACAGAGTTAAAAAAAATAATCTGCAGTGCAGGCAGAGGTATTTTATTTCTGGGTGTGACTGGTGTGGTATTGTTGTAGTACGTTATTTGTGTACGTTGTGTGTACGTCATGCTGGTGCATGCGCGTGTTGCTGTGTTGTGAAAAGCAGTCTCCGTCTTGAGTTCATGATGTCTTCGTCTTGAGTTCGTCATGTCTAGTTGTGTTTCTTCGTCGTGTCAATAAACAGTCTTCTAAATGTAGTTATCGTCGTCCCTTTGTACAAGTATGGAGATGGCACGGGACTGGGAGCAGGTAGAGGAAGGGAGTTACAACATTGGTGGCAGCGGTAATGGAAATTGTTGTAAACTTCAACTTCTGGATTCGTCCTGCGAGGCCTTCGCTCCCAGTTTCCGATGCCATCTCCAGTCGTCCTATCGTCACAGTTTCGTCCGTCTTCAAGAAGTTCGTCCGTCGTCCTCGTCCTTCATCATTTGTCTCTCCCGTCTCTTGTCAGTCGTCGTCACTGGTGGTCCCGGACACGACGTAAAACTGTGCCCAGAAGAAAAACTGAAACAGAAAAAAAAGAAGGATGGAAAGTGAAGGCTGCCGTGTGAAGATGTGGACGCTGAGCAGCGCTCCTTGAGATGGCGGACGGCATGGCAGACAGCGTGAGGAGTTTCGTTGGAGAGGGTACGTGTGTTGTTGTGAACGTGATGAGAATGTGAGTTGTGTATTTTCTGTTCTCCCAACATTTTGTTCTATATTATTTGCTCTCCTCGAGGGTAAAGAGGCGCCCGCACAGCGCGTGTGCTCTGTTCGTTTTTTGATTTCCTCTTCTATGAGGATAACTAGAGGCTCCCACAGAGCCAGTGGATTCTGTTCTTTTTGTTATTCTTATGATTTGTGCTCTCACATTTTAGAATTTTTGCGTGATCGTGAGTGAAGTTAGTTTGAGTTTTTCGGGTTATCAGTTCCCACACGTGTGACAGCGATCGTGGCTGGTGTTCTGGGTGGGCGAACAGAGTGTCAGGAAAATGCCTTTTGTACCACATTTTTTTATGGCTTGGTGGGACTGGCAGCCATAACTTTTAAAGCTTTCTTTCAGTGTGTAATACTGCTGAATCTGCAGGTAGCTTATTGCAAAATGGCGGTCGAAAAATCTTTGGAAACCACTTTTTTTGACCCGGTGCACGCGCCTGCTCAAGAACAACCACTATCCCACTGCGATCATCCAATCAGCCATACAACACGCCATACAAAGACACCACTGCACCACATCACGGCGGAGTACCGGCAGTCATCATCTCAGTCAAGCGCAACCGGAGAAAAAGAAATACACATATTCTATCATCAAGGTGCCATGCATCAATGAGAGGCTCGCTAACAATGTCCGAAAAACCGTCAGATCATTCAGTAAAGACGTACGTGTTGTCTTCACGTCTGGACGTTCGTTGTGTGACATGTTGGTGCCGTCGTCACTCAGCCGGCCTAATTTCCTGAGAACGGTACAGCGGCAGAAGAAGAAGAAGAGGGGAAGGGGCAGGCCGGCTGAGTGTCGTGGATGTGATGCTGGCCTTCAACGGAATACGTGTATGTCTAAGGATGTTGTATATTCGTTGAGGTGTGCTGTCTGTGGCGAGGAATATGTCGGTGAGACTGAGCAAACGGTGAGGAAACGCAGCGAGGAGCACCATGGCCAGGCCAAGAATGCCACACAGGGAAAGCCTTGGGGTGAACATTACCGCAAGAAACGCCACATTTTCCCTGAGTCATCTCTGCCATTCTCCCATGCCTCGATTCTCGCCCAGAGGCAGAGATCCTACGTAGACCGCCGAATCATGGAGGCGCTCTTCAAGCGAAAGAGGAAGCCGGCGGTGAATATGGACAAGGGCTGGCGTTTGTTGGGCGATGTTTAGGTGCTTGGGTGCTATTTGTCACTGATATGTTCAGTTTGTGCTTTTTGTAACAGTACACACACGCTTCCTTTAGCTGGGGATGGTGTGATGCTACTGGCACTGCTTGGTTTTGGGGGATTGTCATGTTCTAGCCTGCTTCGTGTGGTTCTTTACTGCTTCTATTGCTGCTTCTGCTGCTGCTGTTGCTGCTGGTTTTGTTTGCCGTTTTTGAGTAGTGGTGTATAAGGGACCATCGCAAAAGTTCGCAGAAGCCCCTGAAACGAAGAGCATACGTTTGGGGGGGAGGGAGTCGGTGTCGAAAATCGCAAACCAGGCTTCAATTCAAAAAAGTATTGACGACATGTAGGAGCTGATATAGATTAGCATGCCATCACAGCCGGCGTAGATCGCTTGTCAGGACGCGTAATCCATTCATGCAACTGCGCGTGTCGCGTAATGCTCAAAGGATACAACTGCATAGCTCTAGTCTAGCTGTTCTCGTTCTTAGATCACCCACTGCAAGGTGATATCATCGTTGCATTTATAAAGTGCTGTACATTGTTACACACTGATACAACAATGCTTGTGTAGTATATTATAATAATTATTATGTGTGAGCATCCAAGTGAAATAATGAAGCCCATATTGTGACTGTCGTTTCGTTTGAGGGGGGAGGGAGGGGGGGGGGGTCAGGCCCGAAACTAACGGTCTTCGTTTCGGGGGCTTCTGCGAACTTTTGCGATGGTCCCTAACTGTGTGAAACTTGTATCTCTTTGGTCCTCTTTTTCCTGTAAATTAATCCTTGCATCTCCACCCGAGTCTAATTTTGCTCGGGAATTTGTTGTGCAATTAAAAATCAAATCGAGTTAGTCTTGTCAGGCAATGGGCCCTCTCATTTCATGAAAGGCCGCAATAAAAGCTCAAATCTACAACATCGGCAGATTGCTGATGTGTTCCTTTTCACGAGGGCCAGTCTTTCCCCCGCCAGGGTACCTTTTAAAAGTTAAAAATTCCTGCGGATGTTCTTGAACCTTGAACACATGCCCGGTTTCTATTACTACACAAAGGAATGTGACTCGACATCCATAGCCGTAGCAAACGCCTCCAAATCTAACGTCCAGGGTCAGAGCTTGAAACCTAGCCGCAACATTTAGGTCATGTGCATGTCGTTGAGCTTGACCCCACGGAAATGTGTTTATTTTTTTAAATGTTTCCTACCGTCTTGGTGCAGTCGTGTCCAAAATAGACCATTTGCGCAAATAATAGTAGGGGGGGGGCGAAAGGGGGCAAGCGTACGCGTAGGGGGGCGTCAGGTGACCCAGCGCTGCAGCAGCGCGCATGCAGCAGCGCTGGGTCAAGCAGACAAAGTACACACTTTCTTGCTGGTTTTGTTTTTTCCGAGTAGACAGAGCTGGTGCACAGTCGAGTCACACGGTCATGGAGGGTGAGGACGGCAGAGTCGGTGCGAGTAGTGTCGGAGAGCTGGTAGAAGAGGTTCCTCAGCCTTCTCGGACTATAAAGCAGCTGAGAGATTATCTACAAAAGCAGGGTGGTTTGTTGACAGGATGGAAAGCGGAGCTACTTACGAGGTCGTTCATACGGGGCTTCGTCGACTGATTTTTTTTACCTTCACTCACGAACTGCGCGTGACATTTGTTCTACATCCAGGGCGTTATTCTACAAATCCAATCCCGAAGCACCAAGAAGCAAGCGGTCGACCCGTGATGCAGCTCCCGTCGCCACGCGCACTCCAGCACCAGTATTTCCTGACTCTGGCTGGACCCAAGACAGATCGAAACTTGCTCGTGTAACAGCATCCACGATCTTGTCTCCTTTGCTGCTTACTGGAAAGCAAGTTCGCACCAGTGAGAGCCATGTACTCATCATCAGGAAGCCGCTAGATCGGGGACACGAGCTGTATTTTGGTGGATATATTCACGATGTTAGTGTGTGCTGTGTGGAGGCCGAGATTTTTATCGAAGCCAAGTGCTGGGCAACCCAGAAAAAGTCTACCAAGTACAGCTTGCGACTTGTGTTCACAGATGACGCCAAAAATGATAGTGCTGTGCTAGATTTTGCTGTGTGCGTGAGCGCTGTGTTGCTGGTGGAGATGGTGGGCTCTGCTCTCATGTGTTTGCTGTGTTACTGGTGCTTAGATTTTGGATTTCAGTTTCGGCAGCCTCCGACACGATACTCAAACTCACTCTCACTTTCTCCTCGCCGCGGCTTCTTGGCTTTTGGCTCGACATCGAGCCTCTTTAGTAAAGAATGACGAACAAGTGGAGCACTTCGACGATCCGCAGGAGAGGGTCTCTCGGCTGGTGGTCGCCGAAAGGAGAAAACACTGGGGATGCTTTCCTGCTTCAAACGACGATGCGGAGTCCCAGAAGCTAATGCAGGCAGCCCGGGTAGATCTGGATGGAAGTCTTTTTCCCTGAAATGTTCACTGCAAACAACAGTGCTGGATGAGATCGTGAAATGCGCTCCCTTTTCGCGCTTACATGCCTGCACCCATCTCGCCCTTAGGTCGGGATCTTTGGGATACTTATGAAAATGTAGGAGTTGCATTTTAATAGAAAGTATATTTTTCGCAGTAAAAGAGTATTTATTTGTAGAGCTTGTGTTGATACAGATTCCTAGGTTCAAACCCCAAGATGGGCAGTTAGTTACATTTTTCTCTCCTTGCGTATTTTGTATCTGCATGTTATTACCCTTTCCGTGAGTCGCTCATGAGTAATGTATGAGTCGTGTATGGCTTAACCCGTATTTACCCGTATGACTGCTGCTAGTGTTATTGTTCTAGAACATTGGCATAATTAACCAATCACAGTTCACAGCTCTGGAATATTCTAGAATTTCGTCGGCAACCGGTTTATATAAATTACTGATTGGTTGATGACCTAAAAACATGGCTGCCGTTCGCCGCGTGTTTTGTCTTCTTGCATTGTTCTTTTCTTGTGCTCTTTTCACTTCTTATCTTTACTTGCCGAGTGTGTAACTAATAATTCTGTCCTAACGAGTATTCGTGAAACCACAAAGTGAGTGCTTTGTTTGAGTGTGTGAAATTGTCTCCGAGGGCCAGCTACTACAAAAAGACAGATCTCGTTGATCTGATCGGCGATTTGAGCAGCCAAACACAGAGCAGTGGTCGTGCGATGGCATCGTGAGGCGAAGGAAAACTACCGACTGAACTACAACCAAACCATTTCAAAACAAAAACAAGAAACACCGTACCCACGGCCACCGGCACCAACAAGCACACGAAATCTCCGTGCAGTACACCACGTACACGCTGTACTTGCACTGTGCAGTGTGCACGGTTGGCCCACGCGCGATCTCATGCACGATGGGGCCCCCCTATAGACCATGCCTTGCCCCCTTACGCCCCCCTACTTTATTTTGTCAAATGGTCTATTGTCTCAATCTCTTGCAGGTGGAACTACAGTGACTGCAAGTTCATAATAGAGAGGTTTTGCAGAGCGAACGTTCGCAATGATTTTCGCGTTCCGGGTTGCGAAAACTATTGCGAACGTTCGTGCGAAATTTGTGTTTTGCATGTTTTTCGCTCCAAGAAATTTTCGCGTGCACTCGCTTGTTTGAGACGTACAGTGACAGTGAGTGGTCTTCATCCGATTATTTTTGTTGTTGCGAGTGGTGGCACCTAGAGTCACGGCCTGAGACGAGAGCTCCTTGACTACCTTGTCCATGGCCGGAGACCCACAGTCACAAACGGGTTGGCTTGTGCCGTAATCTGGCGCATCAACACCTGAAATTCAAAGAGGCATCGGTGCATCGTTGATGTAACCGACTCTGAGCAGTGAGAAGACGAGCAGGCAGGAGATGGTCCCGGAGATGAAGCAACACGGGCCGCCACACGTATAGCCTAGCTAGCACCCGCGGACCAAGCCAAGAGTAGAGATCAAGCACAAACATGAGGACTGAGGGTGGCTCACCGTGCACGAACAGTCCACAAAGACGAAAATTACTGCGAAAGTTTGCATGTATCTCGCTCCAAGAAATGTTCGTGTGCACTCGCTTGTTTTTGAGAAGTCGTCTCCATCCGATTATTTGTTTGTTGCGAGTGGCGGCACGCGCACCAGGTACCGTGAGTCACGGCCTGAGACGAGAGCTCTTTGACTACGTTTGTCCATGGCCGGAGACCCACAGACAAACGGGTCGGGTTGGCTTGTGCCGTAATCTTGTGCATCACCACGTGAGATTCAAAAGGCATCATTGATGTAACCGACTCTGAGCAGTGAGAAGACGAGCAAGCAGGAGATCGGAGATGGTTCTGGAGATGAAGCAACACGGGTTGCCACAAGTATAGGAAAGCTAGCACTCGCGGACCAAGCCAAGAGACTTTGAAGAGTAGAGATAAAGCACAAACATGAAGATCACCGACACCAGGCTGACCAGCGGTCCACAAAGAGCGAAAATTACTGCGACAGTTTGTTTCGCGTTTCCTGCAACTTTCGCGTTCAAAACTGCGAACGTTCGCACGAAGTTTCGCTTTTTGTGACGTCAAACGAATATTCGCGCGAACGTTCGCTCTGCAAAACCTCTCTAATGTGAATAATGTTGTGCTACAACTCGTCTCTCAGTTCACCTGCTATACAGTATGTACCTACTTATGTTCTCTGTTGTTGCAGCTGTCCACTGCAGCGTGCCAGTCATTGCTAACGGAGCTACCAGCAGGACATATATCACGTATGATGAAACATTGGTATACACATGCAATGCGGGTATGAGGCCTAAAACTGGTCTTACCGTGAAATGTACATCTACCGGAACTCTGAGTCACCAGCCTGTGTGTGAGCGTAAGTTTGATTTCTCCTGGAGTATCTGCTTTGCTGCGGTAGTCCAATGTGTTTTCGCTTCATGTTTTTTTAGAGAGGGAAAATCATCTCTTCAGACTTCGAATGGTTCAACAGAGGGTAAATACCTGGCAGTGGACCCACAGTTAATTGGGAACTCGGGGCCTGACACTAGGGAAACATGGAGGCAGTGAACGGGAGTCTTGGTCTTTGACCACTTGCTGGTGGTCTGATCTACTCACCTCCCACTGCTTTAGGAGCTGCATCTGTGCCTTAGATCTTTGCAGGGTGGTAGCGTTCATACGCATGCTGAGAACTCAGTCTAACTGAATCTCAAGCGAACCGTGAATTTTTTTAAATTTTCGAATGTCATGGCAACTCTCAGGACTCCTTTGTCCTATCTACCTGGAATCCATCTACCCCCCCCCCCCCTACTCTCTGGCACCGTTCAATAGGTTATCGTCACTGTAGTATTGCTGCACTTGCACGATTTGAGCTCTCTCTCTCTTTCTCTCTCTCTCTCTCTCTCTCTC